GCTCTTCTACTGGGATTAATGCTCCTCTATTTTCATATTTTCCAGTTTGTATTCGTAATGCATGACATCCTGATCTAAGCTTTGTCAGGCTAATTCTGTGTGCTGGCTTTGTAATTAATGTCACTTCCTTTTGTGTAAATTTCTCTCTTGAACTTGTTGATGACATATTCTGGGTTTCAAGCCAGTTCTGTAAATATTGATACCTGAGGGTTTTCTTTATAACTAATCGTGCATTCTTGACGTGCTGCTGGTTCTTTTACTTCACACCTTTTACTGATTTCTTCATTCTGTTGAATGTCAAATAAAGTTGTATGTTTTGTTACATATCGAAATGCTTATGGTAACAAAACGTTGTTGGTGGAATGCTTCAATCTTTGCCAGTAGCTGAAGATTGATGCTTTAATGTCGTGCTTAAAGGGTACCGCCAAGCTATGCTCTGCAAGCAATATTTTCTGTATACCATGGAACGTTTAATGACTGTTTACAAAACTTTATACGAACTTGTTCAATTGTACTTTTATCAAAAGGTGTTTTGTATGATGATAGTTCCGGTCCCCAAATTTCGCATGCGTAAAGTAACACGGGTTTAACCAGGGCATTAAAGAGTTTGTTCTTAATCGTAATTGTTGCTGTATCATCCGTGTTAGAGAAAGATCGATTTATTATCGAGAGAACTTTGATGGCTTTTTTGCTAAGAATTTCTCTTGCATAGGTGTAACGACCAGATGACGTCATTTCTATACTTAAAAAGGTTTGTTTCGCAACAATTTGTAAAGTTTCACTGTCATATTTAAAATTTACCTTATTCTTGTTTTGTCCGTTACCACTGAATATAATTATGTTTGACTTTTTGGTGTTAACCTTGAGCTTTCAATCTTGAGCATGTTTATGAATTACATCAAGCAATTGTTGCAACCCTTCTCGAGAATGGCCGATTACTAGCAAATCATCAGTCTGCATACATTAAGCAGTTTAGAGATCGATTTCCTAACACCACGCCTGGGCATTTGTTCTGTACAAAATATCGCGGTAAATCATTCATAAATAAAGAAAATAAAACTGGACTTAAACCATCACCTTGCATCATCCCCTTGTTACATGGAAATAGGTCTGTAAGTGTGTTCTGGTCAATATTAACACAACTCTTAATTGAAGAATACAGGGACTTTATGACATTCAAGAATTTTCCTTGAATTCCGTATTTGTATAATTTATGGATCATACCGTATTGCCATACACTATAAAAAGCTTTTTCGTAATCAATAAAACCAACATAAAGCTTGTTGTGTTGTTTGGTGTTTTTATGGAGTAGTTGGCGGAGAATAAATAAACTATCCGTGGTTCTAGTGTTTGGTCTGAACCCAAACTGTTCTGGATTTAAAATATTGTCTTGCTCAATAAATTTATCCGATCGGTTTTGTAAAATTGACAAATGTACTGGAACAAAGAAAGTGTTTACATTAGAGTAAAAGTTCAACTCCCACAGGATTGGCTTGGTACATCAACATTGCCGCCATTTCATTGTTTCGGGACACCAATATGGCTGCCGTGACGTCATGCGAAAACACTCCAAATACGAGCAAACACTTAGCTATTATGATTCAGGTAAATTAACCGCCGAAGCGAGGTTGTGAAGTTGACGTTTCGAGCGATAGCCCTTGTTTAGAGCAAAGTGTGGGATTGTGGGTTGTATTTTGTATATGTATGTGGTTTCGAGTTCAATTTGGAATTGAACTCTCGGCTTGTGCAATTTTAGCTTTTTGAAAAACATTTAAAAAATTCGCGTGGAGGAAGTGCCGGAAGGTCTTCCTTGAAGCCATTTTTTCTAATTCGAGAAAACCTTTTGCAAAGTTTCCGTACAAAAGTTTCGTCATCATTTTACGTGATGTCATTGGCTTAGAAAATTTCCTGTTGTCCTTCAGCCAATCATAATCAGAATCCAGAATTTGCACTGGTGTTATACATTTTGCACTGTTGTTACACTTGCATTGCACTGCTCGCAGCCAGTCAGAATGGAGTAATTTTTTCATGTATATAATTAGTGTTTATACTATTTTCTTTTTTTTTAATAATTGATTGCCTGAAGTACCGGTACAATATAAAAGCACACAATTTACTTATTTTACTACATACTGCTTCAAACACTTACAATTTCAGACAGAAGCATATCACCTATCTAGGTGATATGCTTCTGTTTCAGAACACTACCAAATAAGTATTCTTTTAGGCTAATTAGCACGCCACGACAATATATCACTTAAAAAACAGTTACCTTTTGCTACTTACAGTAGTAAAACTTGCTCTACAAAATTGCCACACTTACATTAAATAGGCAACACGTTTTAAACTTTACGTTACATTGAACTGCACTATTAAACGTATTATTCTATAAATAATAATCTTTTTGTCCTTCAGTAGCATTTTCATTTTCAAAAATACAGTGAGGCCTGAAACTACTGTTAAAATTCATGTTTTTAAAAAATCCTTAAAAATGTTTGGATTTTTAAGAATTTTAAACATCACTTTTAACAGTAGTTTCTGGCCTCAACTGAACTTTTGTCAGTATTGTTATTTTATTAATAAATGTATACTGCATCTTTTTTCGTCACTTAGCAGTAAGATAAATAGAGCGTTGGTTGCTGACGTCATTGTTGACATTTTCCTCATTAACTTACGGGCTTACGCAGAGAAGGTATTATGTTAGCTACGAATTGACTCCAAACATTTAAAAAGTTTGTACAAGTTAGTAATTGGTGAAATTTTTGGCTCGTTGGGTGTAATATTTAAGGAGAATTCGGATTTCAAAAGCTGAAAAATTTCTAGGTGGCAAAAGTGCTAACGAGCTCATACATTTCGACACATTTTTTATAAAATTGGGAGATTTATAAACCTGTGTTGTACAAAAAGTATTCAATACATCGGCCTCAAATTCCTTGGGACAGTTAATCGTGCTATGCCATTTTATTAATCAGAACTGATATTTTTGTAGATTGAGCAGAAACGGAATCGCTCACGCTAATGAGGAAAATATTGAAAACAAAGATTCCCCTAGACGATAAACATTTCATTACATGTTTGTCTGATTTGCTTACATTCAAAGAGCAAATACTCCCAAATTTTAACTCACGTGATTTCCATTCAATTGATAAATAACAAACCGGCAGATATATACGAAAATGGTTCCATTATGAAAATTCCTACGGATATTTGAAGGTAAAACCGATGAGGATCCCCGCTTATATCCGTGTCTTAACACCCCAAAATACCCGTGTGGTATATTCGAACCAAAAAAAACCACAACTTTTCAACCCATCCAAACTCCATGTAAAATATAACGAAAGGAATAAGGGCATTCCTCTCTCCCCATAAAAAACCCCCAACTTTTTTACCACTATTGCGGAAGATAGAATTGTAGTAAAGTATATGTAAATAGTTTTAACCAGATTATTTCCATTTCAAATAAATTTTTACAACTTTTTTTAAACAGTTAAGGTGACATGTATAATGTTGTTGTTGATGCATAGCATCTTTCGTTTCTTAGTTTAATATTTATTTTTACACGGAAAATTAGCTGTTCTTTGAAAGGCTAGAACTGTAAAAGTCCATACTTCCATGTTTAAATAGAGTGCTATGATATGTTAGCATATAATCTCATTCTCACACACATAAGGCTTAATTATCAAATTTAAAAGTTATAACGACCTTGTACCGCATAGTAACACCTGTAATAAACAGTACCACATAAATTAAGTACTGCTCAATGGCTTTCATTTAAACAGGTCTAAAATTTAGAGCCATCTTTTTACAAATTAAAAATCCTATTTAAAAATAACTAAAGATTAACCCTGGAAGTACAAGTGTTTACTGACTGAATGTCGTCAACACTCAGCTAGAGTGTGATGAATCCTTACGATCGTTGTCTGCATTGTTAACTGAAAGAATGTTTGGCATGACAGGCGTATGTTCGTTGGGAATATTACCAGCCTCATCTGGTGTGTTCCACGAGTGTTCTCTTCCACTTCCCAACAGTAAATAGACTAACCAACCAAATACATACACACCAGCTGATATGTAAAAAACTTTCTGCCACCGAGCCCTTGTTGGCTGGAAAGGAAAAAATACAACAGAACGAATCAAAGATTTGGTTCTTGGGTGAAATTAAACAAAATGGTATCAGCGATCTACCATTTCAAAAATGGCTTCCATTAATTCCATCCCCCCCCCCCTTTCCTACCACCCTATCAAGTGGAACATTTAGAAAGAATATCCGTATAGCGTATAAAAACTATATTTCTATCTAATGGGATATTATGGCAACATACGTTTGTAAAACACATGAAAACGAGGCTGAGCAGTCCAGGGTGACTTTTTCTATACACGTTTCTCACATTAAAAGAAGCTACAACTTTAGAATAGGAATATTACTTCATTTAACATCAAGTGTCGTCATCGGTTTTTAAAGATTTATTGCAATGGGCCTAAAGGGACTTATGTTTAATATAATGTCAAGGGGTGGAGTATTCTTTATGATGAACTTTGCCGGGGAGACTTCCCGTTGGGGTATCTTTTTATCAGGTTGGAGGTACGGTATTTTAGAGGGCAGGGATTTCACAAGCTGAAGACTAGAAAAGTGTAAGGAAAACTGTCATTTAGGTACAGTAAAGACCCTTTCAATATTGATCATTTCTATACATTGCTATCACAAGCAAAGGATGGCTAAGAAATGCAACACAAATAAGTGTAATGAAAGTTTGATGAGAAGGATTTCTAAACCAACTCCTGCAAAACATTAATGATATCAAAATAGTATTTAAATTACCTGATTATTTGTTAAAAAGCCAACCACATAAGGCCCAATGATCCCAGAAATTGTTCCAATTGAATTACTTATCCCCATAAGAATACCAGCAAATCTGGGTGCGATATCCAAATGATTGACAATATAAGAAGATCCGTTGAGACCTTGTATACCGATAGCCAGTGAGAATAGGGTGACAGCTAGGCTTGTATAATCACACCCAACATAGCTCGTTGAAACCAAGAGGCATGCGGGGACAAGGAAACCTGCCACCATGAAAATCAGTGTTAGAAGTTCGTCTTGAGATAGAAGGAAATAATGCTGAACAATTCTTCCGACTCAAACCAGATCCAGTGTCCGCTATTGTTAGCATCCAATCTGGATAGTTGTTGGCTTTCAAGGCTTGCTTAACGGGCTGAATTTACTTTACTCTGTCATCTTCTTCAGAAATCAAGGTCCAATACTTGCTACTTCGAGCTCAGACCTTGATTATTCTGGAGGAGACTGACTAAGGAAATTCATGACTATTTCATCTCCCTTGAGACCCTAATGAATATGATGTAACCCTTCTTAACATTTACACTTTTATTGTGGCTGATGAAGTTCGGTTGAGGTCGAACGAGATAGTCCACTTTTGAACTTTTATTGCGCTCGGAGTGCAGGAAATTATTTTATATTTTAACTATGTTTCCAGAGCAGGAAAACAATTTTTTGGACTGTAATATCGTTCTGTATACATCACGAAATCTAATCTTAGTACACATTACTAAGTGTACTTTCAACTTAGAATTAATTACAAGAAATGTTCTGGAGTCAGTTGAGGGAAGTGATTCTCCTAACTCACCTGCTGTGCTAAAAACTTTTCTGACTTCTCCAGTAGGTAATATCCTATGGTAACGTAGCCAGTCTGCCACAAAGCTACCGCCGACACCAAATATGTAACACAATATGAAAGGAACGGCAGAAAGAAAGCCATTCTGAAACATATAAAAAACATTTCCCTTGAAATAAAATTAGATGGAAAATGGGTGACTTTCCACTGAGTTTCTCAGTATGACAGGTGCCTTGGAAGTTGGG